CGAGAGCCATGATAAAATTTTAAACTAACATTTTTGTATAACAAAATCTTAGAAGTACAAATTTTATCGAAAATTCTTCTAAATAAAAATAATACATTGTTGTAAAAAAAACTTAAAAATTTATAATTTAAAAAAAAATGGGGAAATGTGAGAGAGAGAGAGAGACATGAAAGTCGGAATTTTTGAAACGCTCTCTGCGTACGATCAATATTTTTAACAATGCCAGGTATAACGTCAGTTTGCTTTTGGCAGTTTAAACTGCACAGCCCGACTATCGTTGTAACTGCGATAACAACGTGAAAATTGCCTATATGGTATGCCAGAAGTATCTGGTACAGTTCCACACAATTTTTTCCTCATGTGTGTATCGCACTTATTGTGTAGATTTTTTTGTTTTATGATCTCGCGGATTACATAGCCCATGATACAGTCGTTGCCAGTAACGTTTGTTTTGAGTTAGCAAGCCATGTTGTTCGTTTCTGCAAATTAAAAAATTTTATTCAACGGTTATTTTGAACATAATTCTATCTTTTTTATTTTCTCAATAATAATCGGCGATAAACAATCCATTTTAAAGCAATACAGAAAATTCGGAAATACGATACAATTAGATATGAATTGAAACCGACACTTTTATGTATTTTAATAAAATTTTTAAACTATTTATCTCACTCTTTTAAAATGCTTTGTGTGACGGTCGGTGATTACCTGAAAGGATAAGCAGAATTAGATTATTACAAGACAAAGACTTACATTTTCGCGTTTCAGCCTATAATTACATATATATGTATATGTATATGGTGATTACTAAATAATCACCTTACGCTTAACAAAGTCTTGGGAATAATCGTTGGGTAAAGGAATCAAATTTCAAATTAATGGTCGTGCACTCGTCTGAATGTTAAATGAGGCGACCCGCAGAATCGCAGTTACGTGTGCGGAATTCACACGGGTTCTAGTATGGCACGAGAAGAATTTCCGGCTTTCCGCACCTGCCGCCAACGCGGAACTAATATCTTGCCAGTGACTACACTGTAGGTGTTCAGCAATTCGCTTATCCACCGTCGAAGAATAAGACCTTAGGTTACAATTTTCCCATGCGAATTAAGAGTCGACTTATCGCAGTTGTTTCACGGAAACACGTTTTGGTAAAAGCGATTCAACTCGCTATAAATTTGCTGGAGAATTTATATACGTTATTTTAAATGCGTAAAGTTGTGTATTAAATGCGTGTGGCGAAAACTCGACGACTATTAATACTACAGAGTGCCGAAATTAATTTTTTAGATGCAATTAAAATCTAACAGTGAACGTTCGCGCGATCGCGTGAAATCAATTGGTTACGTAATCTGTGAATAATAGAAAATGTAAGGAATTCTTGGTACTCGGGTTCTGTATAATTGAGCTGATATTTTTCTTCACTTATTCAATAGAAGCCTTTTAATATTCGCAACATATCGTTTCTTTTCCCATTTTGCAGCCTGCAATGCCGACGAATATGATTGCGAGGACGCGACATGCATCGCCGCGGAACTAGAGTGCAACGGAAAGGTGAATTGTCGCTTCCGGTGGGACGAAGACGAGGGAAAATGTAACGTGAGTTTTAGCTTTTGTCAAGAACTGATTCAATATCGTTCGCTTTACGAATTGACAAAACGCTATCCAATTCCCGGATTTGAGCCATTTCCGGCGCGTCCACGAGATGTATCCTTCCGCACTCACCTCTTTCCTTACCCTCCTCATAGATTTCTATAGCACCTGTTTTACAGATATTCTACTTCTCATAAACTGCGAACTGCGAAAGTTAAATCGCACGAGATGGCGCAAGTTCGCAAAATGAGATGAGATGAATTTAGACGCGAAGTTATAAAGAGAACTTATGATATTTCTGACACGCATCTCAAATTAAGAGTTAAGAAGCACTGAGAATGATATTATCATAAGTTACAAGAGATAAATTTTAGATAAGAGTCTGTTAAGTATTAAAATTATTACCGTAAGAAATATAAATGGAAAAGTTTAAATACATTGCGTGTCATACAAGAACGCGTTCCCATTCACCTTATATAATCTCTGATAACATTTTTTATTATTTAAATAAAATCATTCATTTATGCCTGCGTCTTATACCAGTGTACTACGAGAATGTACCCTAATATTGCAGTATAGCAAGAACGATACGTCGCCTCGCTTTAATTGCTCTCTGAGCTTCCATTTTACTTGCTCCTGATCTTCCAGGTTAATTAATTTATTCGAGGGAAGTTTTATGACTCCCTTTAGTTTAACTGGCTCGACGAACAAGGCTTCTCAGAATTAATAATTTTGCAGCGGCAATTTGTTTCTCCTAATTGTGAGAGAATAAAATCAATTTCATAGGCCGATCTTGTCTTTTCGTATAATTTTATTCTTCTTTCTTCCTAAGCGACTTTACACATTGTAGTATTGTTAAACGCTACTTTTAATTTTATCTCAATTTCAGTACTATTAATTACTGTTTGCTTTGTTTATAAAAACTGTCTCTTTGATTTGGAAGAATAATACTCAACAGTTAAAATAATATAACTTCTTTACTGAAATTACCGTTTTAGTTTTTATTTGAGGTGGAGATGAGACTTTTATGCAAAGAACCGTATTCTCGAAATAGTTTATGAAGAGATACTGTAAAGAAGGCGAGATTACTTTTAGACTGCAAATGGTAGTCTTTTTAGAATAGTGAACAGTTCATGATCTTACGATAAACGTTAAGAGTGCTACATCTCGAGAACTTTGTAGTCTTTTAGCTGGGATTATCCAGGGCTTTTGGAAAGCTCATTTCACATCGCCCAGCTTGGGATTCAGGATATGAAATCCTGTGGCAGAGCGCGTTGACGAGACGTAACCATTTTCGACGACCTTTAATACTATATACCTTTTACCATTCTGATTCAAGAAAAAGAATTGTAAAAGGACGTTTGACATTCGCGACATGACGTCAATTGATCCAATAGCATTAAAGTAATCTTTTACCTGGCATTACGTTAATATAATTGAAATTATTGAGTGCAAATCTAATGACGTTTTTAGTTTTAAATGAGCTTTTCTTAAACGACTTTAAGGTAAAGTTGATGAAAATTATTTCAAGAAAAGAAAATCTGATTTTATTATTCAACATTTCGTCTTTAATTATATTGCTTTTATAAATTACATCAAGGATAGCAACCATGTAATATAAAATTTATATTGCATATCATTTATAAATACAACGTTACCGCTGATGTAAAAAATGAAGAGTTGTATGAAATATTTATACATAATTTTGCGCGTAGAATCTGATATTAAACAGCCTCGTGGCATATAGTTCCATCTCTGCCGAGATTTACCATCGTCTCTTATTTGCTAGTGCCAAACCACGAATCCCGGGATATGCGCGACCTCACGAGAGTCGCCTCTACGACTTAATCGTCCTTCAACCACGCAAAACGTCTCGTGTGTTTCTCTCTCTTTCGCTGTCGTCCCTGCCTGTAGCACCGGGCTAATTAATTTATTCGGGCGAAGTTTTGCAATGAGTACGACTCGCTCAACCCGGGTTTCGCGATCTCGGGACTGCGCTTTTGCACTCGGACGTGCGTTCCGACGGTTATACGGGTGGGTGTTTCCGATTCCGGGATGTACAATACTAACGCGCTTTTGGCAGACTACCAGAACAAGGCACTGGCGAAACGACGGCACGATGCCGCCGACGGGATATTAATCTAACAGCGAATAATGCTCTTGATATTGCCGCGCGCGATTCCCGCCAATGTTTCACCGTATTTTATGTCAATGGTTTTGGACGGAATGTAAAAATCAAGTCGCTTGCTGGATGTGGCAACGACGATTACAGATTAAAGAAAAGGCAGACAATGAGAAAAGAAGAGAAAAAGAGAGTTCGAGAATAACAATTTTGAGCAAAAATACAACTTTTATAAAAATACAACTATTATACGTTTATTAACATTATTATAATGTTATTATATTTAGTGTTAAAAGCAGCAAACTATAAGTATATAAAATTAGAAATTAGAAAATTCTGATATTTATAATTAAAATAGTTATTTACTTTTTGAAGTTGCTAAATATTTATAAAAAAATAAATTATATTTCCGTATTTCTTGACCGATGTGTTCAGCAGTATAATCTTAAACGTGTCGATGCATCTAATTTAAAGTCATAGATAATTTTAATACGCGGAAACCATTATAATTAAACGGTAAACAATTGTTGAACGATATCTTTTATTGTGGCCACGAACAATACACGTTTGTAGGTAATTTCACTGTTCTGTTAGTCGGAAATAAACGTTCTCACTCTCTTGTCAATCGCAATATAGCGGCAAATTTATCGAGTAAACGATGGAGAAGCGGCTGTTTACTCCGACGACATGTTCGTTCAATGTGTCACTCCATCGAATAAATCGATGACAAACAATATACTATATCGAATTAATTCGGCAATAATTAATTATTGTAAAACATCGCCACACACGCGGTAGAGATTTTTTGACCTTTTATTAGATTTATCGGAGTAGCTTGAATAATGTTTGAAGAATAGGATGTTTATAGCAAAGTTCTCTTTCTATAGCTTCCATTAATTTATATGCATTATATAAACTAACATGAAAAAAGTGTGTAAATGAACTTTTAAATAAATTTTAATTAATTTTTTGATTAATTATGTGAAAAACTTTATTGCAAACAATTCATGTTGTTTGTTATTGTTTCATATGTAGCGTAATAAATATATAATAATTAAATGCATTTCTTGTGTCAAAATATTATAGACTTGACATTAAGCTAGAATTGTTGAAACTTGATTTGTGTCCGAATCTTTTTCTATTTTTCTTTTCATAATTGTTAACATAAAATAATAGTAATTATTGTTCTATTATTTAATTGTTTATTAAGCACAGCAAAGTGAAATCTTTGCAGAAAAGGATTCAAAATCGTGTCGATAATTCTCTTACCCAGCGCTATTATTGCATTTGCTTCTGCATTGTCGGTAAATGAGAGCGTTTGCTTGCGCATCTGAAACGCTTGAAAAAAGGATCAGCGCCCATGAAACGACTCGGAATTAAATCTCATTTCTCTATGCTGATTCCAATTTCCAACAAACGCAATTTCGTTCCAAGATTGCTTTAATGCCAATATAGAAAACAAATACTTCAAAATTCTTTATACTGAATGCATTCTGCATTGATAGTCCTTTTTATCAAGTAAAAATTTAAATAATATATAACTTTAAATATATCATATATTGAAGTATATTTCAAATTTTTTTATCAGTGTATTGACCAAAGTTTGCTTGCTCTATGGACGACAAGATGTAAAGTCACCATTTATAAAATGACAATAACTTTTTGCATGTAGCGATATCATTGTATATATAACAATTTGCGTTTGAATTACAAAAGTAATTTGGCAGTCAATAATTAGATGTAGAAAATTACACTCTTGTCGGATTAAAGATTTTACTCGTGTACATATATGTGTTGTGTTGTATATGTATGTAGATATGTGTGTATGTGTATTGTGGTTCAAGTTATGAACAAATTCTTTATTAAAGGAAAGCAATTTCTTTGATTAATTACATTACACGACATCTTGCGAGAAGACATTTATATTATTCCAATGTAATTTTGGAAATGTATAGCTCGTAAATTATTCCGTAATTAAATGAATGCTTCGTTTCTCTCTTCTCTCTTTCTTTCTCTCTTTTCCTCTTTCTCTTTCTCTCTCTCTCTCTCTTTCTTTTTCTTTTTCTTTTTCTCTATGTAATGAATAATTTTTATTTCAAAAATTTACAATAATCATAATTGCGATATATATTTAGCAATACTCCAACAATTGAACAATGTGGAATTTTTGGAACTTCAAAAACCGGATGTATACAGAAACGAGATCTCAATCAAATTAAAGAAGATTCGTGCATTTCAGCGTTATACGCTATCATACTGTAATTTAATTCAACGGCGCACAAAACGGCTTTTTAATTAAATTAAAAAGTGTAATAGTCAAAAATGCTGTCCTGTCTGTGCATCCTCACATCCGAACTTTTCGCGATTATTAGCTCTTTTATATCGCTAGGAATAATTTTTTGTTTAACAATTATAATCTTGCCTATCGTGGATGTACATATCTACGCCGCAAAAGAGTAACATGATCCATTTAAACATTTGCGCAATAATTATCTCGCGATACCCGAAATTTTTACATTTTGTTTTACGTTGCTCGTATTTTGTTGCTCGTATTCTTATCATTAATTCCAGTTTTTTGCAAATTGCAAAAAACTGAAAATGATATCCATCTGCTGAATTTCAGAATTTACGAGGGGTTTACAGCTACATTTATTTTTGCTGAAGTTAGATTTACATGATTATTTACTTAGTGACAAATTCTTGCATCGGATTATGTGTACATGCTACAATATTTAAATGTCGAATAATGTAAGACTCCACAGAGTTACGTTCTGTAAAATTGTCTGTAAGATTATTAGATTATTCATCATTGAAGCGATACTCGTATCTTTTCTGGCTGCGATCTGAAATATGGGCGCTAGAATCGTGTGCAAAATGAATCTAA